TACAATATATAATAAATATATTTTTAGAATACTAGCTTCTTTTTAGTCATGAGATTTTGATTTTTATGAATAATCTCAGGACAATTCAGGTGACTAAATTGTGGGAGGAAAATAGTTCTTTTATATGAAAAACAATTATGTGCTCCATTTTTCTGTAGATAACTATTGCCTAGATTAACAAACATTTTCACACAAATAAAAAAATGTTTAAAGCCATAAGTCAAACCATTTATATATACAAAAAGTCCCAAATAAAATGGATTTTTCCTTTATTATGATTTAAACAGCTTTTTGCCCATAAGGCAGGACAATTCTAAAACAATAATAATCTAAGTTAAGGCTTTACATTTGAAACACATATTCTAGGCAACTGTGACTAAAAAACACTTATCTAGGGGGTTAAGTCTGTCTAACTTCCTGGTGTTATTAATCCATTCATTACCAGTTCTTTTGTATAAGATCTATTGGATAAGCATTAGTAGCAAACCATCAATTTACTTTAATGAATCATTAGTCCCCTTCTTTCATTATATTTTGAGGATCAGGCCATTAGCAGCACAAGCAAGTGCCAGAGAAAGAGCAGCATTTTAGAAGGTAAACTTAGAGATTTTGCAGGCTGCATTGATTCTTACTTTTCTGAATGCTGGTAACTATTAAGTAGTCAGGAACTAATGAATACAAAGAGCTGGCAAAGCGTACTTGACCTTGCTCTTGTCTTAAAACACAGAAAATATTGGTGATTTTCCTTTCTTTTACCTTCTTTATGTTCATCTTCTTTATTTTCTTTGAAGACTGCTACTCTTTAAATAAAACAACAATATGCAGAATGTCATATTTTGGATGAATCTATTCTATAATTATCAGCCTCAAGGCATAAAACATATCTTTGGGCAATGTGTTTCCTTATTCAAGGAAAAGATGAGTGGTGGATGAAAACAAAAAGCCACTTTAAATTAATCCTAGATTGCATCCTTGCCTGGTAAAATTTAGAAGTGGAAAGTAGTGAAATCTGGGGGTAGGGGACAGGAGTGTTCTTTTCTGCCTTTTCAATATTAGGAAGGACAACACTCAGAGGCAGCCTGTGGGCACACTATAGGAAGTAGCTCTGGAGCTTCACCCTGACCTACTACGGAGAGCAGGATGTTTGTGGGTATGATATCTTCTTCTTCTTCTTCTCCTCCTCCTCCTCCTCCTCCTCCTCCTCCTTTTTTTTGGTACTGGCAATTGAACTCGGGACTTTGAACTTGTGAGGCAGACAGCAGCACCACTGAGCTAAATCCCCGGCCTGCTTGTGGATATGATAATGACAACCATTATCACACACTCATCCTAAACTCCTTGTGATCTCTGGAATAAGTGTTTTTATTGCTGTTTTTGTTTTTGCATGGTACTGAGGTCACTAATGTCTGACAGTCCTTAGGTAGCTTTGGGTTGAAACTGATCATAAAGCAAACCAAGGTGTGATCAGAATACTGGGACATTTCCACTTCCCTCCAACAGCCTTTAGGGTGAGGAAAGGGGCTGAAGGTTTTGTTGATCACCAAGGGCCAATAATTCAACTAATCATGCATGTATAGGGAAGCCTGCATAAAAGGCTCAAAACGATAGGTTTCAGAGAGCTTCCAGACAGCTGAACATATGGAGATTCCCAGAGGGTGGTTCTTCCTGAAAGCATGGAAACTTTGTGCCCCACATCCATCACCTTGCACATTCCTTCATCTGTACCATTTATCAAAACCAGGAACTGTGTTTCCCTGAGTTCTGTGAGTTGCTCTAGCAAATTAATTGAACTCAAAGAGGGGGGCATGATAATTCCAGTTTAGAGCTGGTTGCTAGATGTTCTGGAGGACTGGGTTCCAGGTAGTGTCAGAACTGAATCACATCACGGGTGACCCAGCTGGTGCCTGCTGCACAACCACTTTCTGGGTTAAAGAAACCCCACACCTTCAGTCATAGACATCTTCTGGATTTATGGTGGTGTGAGAGTGGAAGGAAGGATTTTGTTCTTATTAAAGTAGAACACACCCTGGGATGAACTGACAGGTATGATTTCATCACCCATGTCCCAGGGTCTGAATGCCTTGCTCTTTCTTAGAAGATGATAATTTATGCAAAGTATTTGCCACTCTTTTTCTAGACAGCAAGAAACCTCTGGTGTGGGATGAACTATACACTGGCATCAGAGATAGCTCATGAGAAAGGATGGCAGTGACTTCAAAAAACCATTGCAAAACCTAAGGCAGCTGTGATTTACCTCAGTGTTCAGTGAAGAGATGGCAAAGCAAGGTGCAAGGGCAGGATCAGGAGTCTTCAATCACAGAAACATTGTCTAGAACAGTTTATGTATGTTACACTGGGCTAAAATAATTTGAAGATTTGAGAAGTTTGGGAAGCTTGGCTTCAGCTAAATGACTGAATGTGTTTGACATAGGATAGACCAACTATGAAAGGGATATTGTAGGCAACATGAAAATATTTTCAGACCAACAGCTTACATTTTATAATACACTCATATCCATACATAATTTTGTGTTTATAAGTACAAAAGGCAAAGA